TTGCTTTTAACTATTAAATTCTAGTATTTTATTAATTTTGTATTGTGATGGAAATCTTTATTTTGCCTTTAACTCTGCTACCACAACAATTTTGCTGTGTATAATATCCTATGTGCTACCTCCTGTCTCATATACGAACTTCTCTGTTTTGTATATGTAATGACATGGGAATTGCTGATTTACTGGACACACATATATACTTATTTATTTACTTCTTCCAATGGTTTTTTTTAATATACTATCTTTGAAATCTTTGAAAATCATGATTTCTTGATATAAGGTTCATATCATTTAGTATACAATTATATATCTCATATTGTAATATTATATCTTCTCACTTTTTCGTAAAGTTTATAGTATTCCTACTTAAAATATTTGAGGAATTTTTCTCTATTCTCTAAAAGTTTTTATGCTTAGAAAAGTATTCAATTTTTACAGTTTGGAAGAAGAAAAGAAAAAAAAAATTCAGTGTAACTGCTTCACTCCAGATAAATGGTCCAAAGCTGAAATTAAGGTGATCTTCAAGTGGCTAGAAGAATAATATCTCTATTCAGGTATTATATATTTTTAGAATTTCTCTTAATTACTTATTACAGTTTTACTTTATGAATTTGATTTTAAGTTATTTGACACATAAGTCTTAAAAACTGTTGGCTATTTTATTTTTAGTGCATACATTTACAATACAAAACTACATATTTAATTCCTTTTGATATTTTTTTCTTTACTTTCTAACTTTAATTTTTTTCATTTCTATTTTTTAGGAAACTTTAAATTTTGAGTCATTTTCATTTAAGCACTTTTGCTGTGAGTAAACACATATTTAAACTATTTTTCAACCCAATATATAACTCATTACTTTGGAGTTTAAAAAATTTTTATGGTACCTTAGATGATTAAATTTTTAGTTACTTTATCTGTTTGAGTATTTTTTCTGTATTCCATTTATCATAATTTTAACTTTATTCCTGTTTTGTTATTGCAATTTTATTTTATGATATATATTATCCTGTGATTTATTGTACTGTCATCCTTGTTAATATTACAAATATTCACATTTTGAAAATAAATATTAACAAACAATAAAATATTTGTTCAATCTCCAGTACCTAAGATGGAAAATTTTATATATTTTTACTATTTCTCCACTTGCCATCATACATAAAATATATCTTTATTTTATTGTTTATGGAAGATAAACAGAAGTATCATTTAGGAACATATTGAATGAGGGATGCAAGTGTGTTATGAGGCACAGCAAGAAACATTTTTGGGGTAAACTGAAAGAGGGTAGTCTCATAGAATGGTCCTAGACTAGTTTGTTGCTGAGATGCCAATATTTAAGAATTAGAAAAGTTGACTTAAAGGCTCCATCTGCAAAATGGTCCAGAGCCCTGTGGAATATTGAGGGTTTCATATTAGTGATGGTTTAAGCTTATCTTTTTGGGGTAATTGTGGGTATAAAGATAAAGAATGTGTCAAGCTGGTAAAAGATTTTAGTAGAGATATTGCTATAAAAATTTCAATCAGAAGAAATGTGTTTGTATAAGTCAGAAACTTCCACAGCATAAATGAAACTTCAACTGATTCTTTTTTTTTAAGAGAAAGAGAGGAGAGAGAGAGAGAGAGAGAGAGAGAGAGAGAGAGAGAGAGAGAGAGAGAGATTTTTAATATTTATTTTTCAGTTTTTGGTGGACACAACATCTTTTATTTTATTTTTATGTGGTGCTGAGGATCGAACCCAGCGCCCCGCACAGGCCAGGCAAGCGCATTACCACTTGAGCCACATCTCCAGCCCTCAACTGATTCTTAAAGGAAAGAGAAGTTGTAATAGATAAATGCAATGGAAGAATGCAAGTTGTGCACAAGAACATTATGTGTCCACAGTCATGAAGACAGGGTCAATATGAACAGATTGAACTTTATAAACCTGGTGGTTGTCAACTAGCATTGACCAGTCTTTCTAGAAAAATACCACGCCAAAGACATAGTTGCAATTGTTATCTACCTTTTTTTTTTTTCTTTTTTCTGAATCTGGAAGAAAACTGTCAATTTTTCCTCGGGTCATGAAGTGCCAAGAAGGATAATTTATATAATTTTGATCAATATAAATTCCTCTCTTCCATCCCTTAGCAAAAATTTGGAAGAAGTACACATTTGATAAGTATGCATTGAAAGAAAGATGACAGGAAAGTAAAGGTTTCATTCAGCATGCCTTAAAAGCACATAACACATGCTGAATATGTTGAGGAAAACAAATGTAGAAATGGTGGATAGTAAAGGAATTTCTGTAATGCCATCTGGAAAAGCATGTGTCATACAGGATTTCAACTTGAGTATGCTTGTAATATAAATCTAATCCACCAGCATTGGAGTCAATGTTCTCAATAGGATGATATGGAACATTGAAACAATTATCCATTTTCCATTATCAGATACTTCTATCTACTCTACCCACATGCCAGTAAAATGCTTTTGTAGTTCTTATCTCTGAGCATTATTAAAGATCACTGAAGATCTCTGAAACATTTTCAAAACCTTTTGAAAATTCTTTTGTTTAATGGAAAGTTCTAAATGCAAACACCAAATAATGTTTTTAAGAAGCTAATGCTGAAAATATAGCTAAGCTATAAAATTAATGAACTATATAAGATAAACTTTATGAATCAATCTACATACTAAATCAAACAACATGAACTAAATGAATAAAATAAAAATGTATGTGATGAGTTATCAATAGTCTTTAAATTCAACTGTATTTCTTAAAATTAAATTGAATTCTAGAGTTTTGTGAATTGTTTCTCAAAATTTATGCATATATTTGCAATTAGGGGAAAAAGTAGGTAAAAATGGAACCACTTTAGCAATGAAAGAATCATCCTGAAGTAAACACTGCCACCTTTACAGAGCAGTCTGTGGTTCCCAGGGCAGGAACTTGTGTGAGGCTGTGTGTTTTGGGTGGTGAAAAAGCAGTTACCTAGCAACAACCCCTCCTCCCAAGTCTGCTTCCAGTCAGATTGAACACGTCAGTGAATTGATTATGGGTTTGCTAGATGGAAAAAGAACAATGCCATAATGTGGTAGGGTATGATTCTCAATCATAAGAAACTTTCAGGTTTTTCTCTCTGAGGGGCACACTCCTCACCTGGTACTGCTAGAAGCTTGTCTAAAGAAATAGGATACAACTAATGTGCTCATCATCAAAAGAAAATGAGAAAATTTCAGATACTTTAATTAATAACATTTATTTTCAGTTTGCTTATAAAGCAAGCAATGAAATAGTTACTACAAGAGCATTGGCTCTGGGCAAGAGGTAATGTTATCACAATGTGTCCTCAGAAATGAAACAGCATAAGATAGGTTTAGGTTCTGAAGAAATAGTTTAAACAATCTAAACAGGTTTTCTACAGCATTTAACCATCTGAAGGTATAATCAATGACATACTAATTTATATATAACATACACATAATATACTTATGTTTATAACAAATGAGCTGAACCATATGTTAGCAATAACTTAGCTAGAAAACATACACTTTAATAAAGCTCACACTAGATATTTGGTTTGCCTGTGATGCATATCACAAATAAATGCCAACCTGTCTTTCATCTAATGGATGTTTATTCCCAGGGAGCATTCTTCCAGGTTGATGCATAACTGAGAAAATAGGTAATCTGAATGAAATGGAATGATAAGGACTATCACAAGCCCTGCTGAAGTAAAAATTAAATACAGCAAATTAGTGTGTGTTTTCATTGCATGAAGATGTAAGGTTTTAAAAAAAAATCTGTTAGAAGAATGCTAAAATGCCAAGTGTGTGGGAGCAAGTTAGAAAGGGAAAGAAAAGAGACTTTGGTTTATAAAATTTTCCATGATGCAAAGGACTGAAGCCAATATCTCCCCAGACACACTGCTGACGCTCAGGGCCGCTGCTTGCCAATGTGCAGGAAACTGTCATTTGTACAGTAGCTTTCTGAGACTTCCCCGGCATCCCCTCCTTTCTCATCCCAGCACACACTGAATGTCATTTGTTCACTGAGTTCCAGAGCAAAGTAATTCTTTGTAAGAAAATAAGTGACAGTTGGACTCATAGCCCAAGTTAGCTCCTTTAGAAAATTGCTAAACTTTAGTTTTTAAAAGGCACATTTTTCAGATACAAATTAATCACTATGTCACACCATATTGTTTTCTAATTCTTTCTTCCTAAGAATATCATCAGTTCAGAAAAAAACATCTCATTTCCTGTGAAAATAACAATAATAAATATTATTTCAGATTTTTGTTAAATTTTTGTAATTATTTTGCACAGACCTTTTAGAAGTCAGGGCTTTTAACCATAAACGTCATTTCAGAAGCAGTCTTATTATATGCAAAAGTCATATCTGAGAGTGAGTCTGAATACAGAATGGATTATGCCCATCTGTTCCTAAGTATTTTAGCTGGTCAAATGTAAAGGGAAGATCAGAAGGACTAACAGCATCAGCAAAATGTTTAGACTAATAATTCCATTAGAATATAAGAAATGGTAGTGGGAAAACAGTTATTTTATTTCAAATGGATCAATTTGTTGTGAATTTTACCCCAACTGTAGAGAGTATCATGTATGTGTGTCAGAGAAATTTGGGAAGCAAGAAAATATATTCTTATATTTTACGATGGGTGGTTTGATGCAGAATGTTCTCTCTTCTTACTCTTTCATTTAATTGCCTCTGTGCATCAGATTATTCTGATAACTCAGAGACACATTTCTATTCGTCTAAGTGATCAGAGGATCTTTATATTCGGAACTGACAAGAATCAGTTTCAGGACGTATCTCAGTGTTGCCTGTGAGCCCCCGCAGAATAGCAAAGCTAATATCTAGTCGTCCAACAGTTAAAATAATTGATGAGTGTGCGCTGAATCCTCCAGAGAGGAGGGAGGAAGCAAGAAGGAGGGCGAGGAGGAGAGGCTGGAAGGGAGGAGGGGATGGGGGGCAGGTGCTGATTTCAGCCCTGTAGCGTCAGGATTGCGTCAATTCGGGTTTCAGCCACGTCTGGAGTCTCAGAGAGGAGCTTTTCAGAAGAGCCAAAACAGGAACAGGGGTGGCAAATCATTGTGCGAGGGCGAGTGGACCTCCCTCTTCGCCTCCTCCCTGCTCCAGGCGCGGGTCCCCTGGGCTCTGCGCCGCTGTTCTCAGCACTCAGGAAAGCCGCCTCTTCAGATCCAGGCAAGTCCATCTAGCCAGGGAGTTTTCCGTTCAGCACCTCGGACAGAGCACGCAGCAAAAAAAAAAAAAAAAAAAAAAAAAAAATGGCTCCGATCGCTACCAGCCGGGAAGAATTTGGTAAGCAAGTTACTCAACTTATTCCTTGAATACTCCGGGGTGGGCAATGTCTCCTACCCGCCAATGGATGTTGAATGGAGATTTTTAGGTAGTGAATTGGAAAGGAAAATGAAGTCAGCAAACGGTTAACCGTGGCTTATTTCTATGATTTCTCCCCCCTTTTTTTGATATCTGTCTCCTTAAAATTGACTTCAGTTAGGGTGATTCTACCTTCCAGAAGTTCCTGAATGTTCAGGTAGCTCTAAAAACTGCAGCATGCATTGGTGGGAAGGAAAAAAAAAAGGAGTCTGTTGTTCGTATGCTCTTTTCATTTATCTTGTAGGCGATTTTTATTTGCAGGCAAATCTGTATTTTATTAGGAGGAGCCAAATATGCCTGTGGTTACATAAGAGTTTGATCTGGTATAAAACAACTTGCAGATTGAGGGCCTGACATGTACGTTTTATTACAGAATGTTCCCTAATTTTCTCTGCTATCTGTTCTTCTATCCTTGGAATATGTTATTAGTGCAAGACAGAATCCTATGACAGTAGGATTACAGGGACTTTCAAAACCAACTGGCTCAGCCTATTCCATTTTACTGGCGAGATAACTAAAGCCAGAGAGATGTGGGAAGTGTTTCCAGTTGCACACTTAGCTAAAATCTGCTCGAAACTTGAATTGGGGCTCTTGTTTGAGATTTTAATTTTCTTTTTTTCCTGTACCAAATTTTTGGCCCCATAGATCTTCTTCTCTGTTTCAGTCAATTTAATTATATCTATTTCTTAGAATAAACACATAGTGTTTTATATCTAATTATATTCCAAAAGCAAGAGATCAGAATTTTACTTACTTTACAAGTTTTTTCTTTTCTTTTCTTTTCTTTCTTTCTTTCTTTCTTTCTTTCTTTCTTTCTTTCTTTCTTCTTTTTTAGTTTTCAATCAGGGAATTTTGTAGAAGTTTGAGTGAGTGATATCTATATATAAGTGGTGATTGTTATTAAACTGAGTGAAATGATTACAATCTTTGCTCTCAAAAGCTTAAGATATTATCAAAAGAGAATGCACTGAGTCCATGATATCGTGAATATTTTTCATTTGGTGTATTAAATAGACAATTTTTGAAGTACATAAATGATTTTTTCAGTCTTTCATTTAACTGATTGAGGAGTGTGTGTGTGTGTATGTGTGTGTGTGTGTGTTTTGTGTATATATTGTGATATGTATACACAAGTTTTGACCTGAAAAATCAGAAAATTTCTAATTTTGAGGCATTTTCAGGGACTGTGGAAGTGAAACATGTCCTAGCATGGGCTATCAGTCTACTTAGAATCATTTTCAGTTGCTTTTATTGTTCACCTGACATTGGATGAAGAATTGCCTCAGTTCATGACTTTGCTTTTACTCCCTGGTCTTAAGAGTATTAATGTCCAAGAGTGGGGGGCTTTGTTTTTTTTTCCCATAAAGACTTGAATAGAAGGGAAAACTCAAAAGCGGATACTAAGTTAAGCTGATTATCTTTAGCTCTTGCCTCTTTCTTCCCAGCTTTCTGTTTTTTTTTGTTTTGTTTTTTTTTTTCCTTCTTCTCTTATTTGGTGAATCCAGAGATTTATTCGAGCTTTACATAATTCAATTTCTTAACACAATCAAGATACAGAAATTTCTATTGCTCCTGTTTTATTTGCTTTTTAAATTTTAGATACTTATTTATCTCATCTTCCCCAATCTTTTATTCTTTGAGTTTAGTTTTGCAATTATAAAGTAGGTAGGCAGAATATTTTGGGGGGTGGGGAAGGTGAATAACAAAAGATTGGTCTTCTTGGGATTAAACAAGTCTTAACCCATTCCTGACTGAGACTTTTCAATCCATCATTCCCTATTTGAAGTAAAATATGGACGAGAAGTAAAGTGAATGTATAATATGCTACATTAGTTATATTCACTTTGATTGTATGAAACATTGACTCAATTAGTATACTCTGTCCAGATGTAGCAGTACTGCTTTTACTTAAACAACATCCCTAATGATTTGAGAAATATGCTTACATATGAAATATGATAAGCTTCATGCACAATCCATATCACCTAAGGACAGTGATTTAATGTGCCCTCATTCAAGGAAATAATGTCAATTTCAATTTGATTACCACTTTCATGTGAAAATATCATAGGAAAAATATTTTTATGAATAAAATTGAACTCTATCAATACTCACTCTTTTCATTACATGTTAAGGAAAGATGATTCATCTAAAACTTCTGTTTTAATCCTATTTAAATTAATTTGTACTTTGGATAATTTAGTGTTTGCATACAAGTGGGTTGCAGCATTACAGATTTTATAAAATAAGATCTTATTCCTTTTCTTTTTTTGTTCTTTTTTCCCATTAATAAATGATCATCCTTTTGATTACTGTTCCATAATTAAGGTGAAAATTTTTAGTGAGTTTGTGGCAATGGCAGATAATATTTCACCATTTTAAAAAATTGTGTGAACCACTGAGACCCTAATATTTTCTACTTGAATTCTGGAAAAAGAAGTATAAAATAAAATACAAAATTTCTTAGCATTTGAAGAATGTCCATCTAGTGTTCCATAGTCAATAAGAATTGATGCTTTTGGAAAGTTTCAAAATGTCAATGAAAAGATAATGGAATCAGTACTGACCCATCGTGGTGGAGTTGACTCATATTATCTGAGAAAACAAAGATAAGGCCATGTTATTAAGCACAGAGCCCCCATATCTGGCCCAGGCTCAGATTCATCTTCTCATTTTAAAAGCTACTGAAGCGAAGGAGTTTTTAGCACACTGTTTTTTCCCTGTGTGTCACACAGGGAATGTGTTTATATCTGAAGTTTATGTGAACTGGGTATAACTTATACCCAGAACAGCTGGAAAGGAATTCAATCTGTCCAACCTGCAGCAATCGCCAGCTCTGCTATGCTTTCCCAATAGGCTTACATCTCCATTCTGCTCCTTTAATATATGTTATTGGTCACTTGATTTTTCAGATGAAATCCCCACAGTGGTGGGGATCTTCAGTGCATTCGGACTCGTCTTCACTGTCTCTCTCTTTGCATGGATCTGCTGTCAGAGAAAATCATCCAAGTCTAACAAGACTCCTCCATACAAGTTTGTTCATGTGCTTAAAGGAGTCGATATTTATCCTGAAAACCTAAATAGCAAAAAGAAGTTTGGAGGAGATGACAAGAATGATGTAAAGAATAAGCCAGCTGTGCCAAAGAATTCACTGCATCTTGATCTTGAGAAGAGAGATCTTAATGGCAATTTCCCCAAAACAAACCTCAAAGTGGGCAGCCCTTCTGATCCAGAGAATGTGACCCCGAAGCTCTTATTAGAAGGAGAAAAAGAGGCAGTTTCCCCCGATAGCTTAAAATCCAGCACATCCCTCACTTCAGAAGAGAAGCAAGAAAAGCTGGGAACCCTCTTCTTCTCCCTAGAGTACAACTTTGAGAAGAAGGCATTCGTGGTGAACATCAAGGAGGCCCGGGGCTTGCCAGCCATGGATGAGCAGTCTATGACCTCTGACCCGTACATCAAAATGACCATCCTCCCCGAGAAGAAGCATAAAGTGAAAACCAGAGTGCTGAGGAAGACCTTGGATCCAGCTTTTGATGAGACCTTCACATTCTATGGCATCCCCTACACCCAAATCCAAGAGCTGGCCTTGCACTTCACAATCTTGAGTTTTGACAGGTTTTCAAGAGATGATATCATTGGAGAAGTCCTTATTCCTCTCTCAGGAATTGAATTATCTGATGGGAAAATGTTAATGAACAGAGAGATCATCAAAAGAAATGTTAGGGTAATACAATTTGAGTCCTTATTCATAAACAACCTTTAATGTAGGTTTTTAAGGAATCTTCACTAAAATGATGTTTATACATATCATCCTTACCATGTTTAATTATTGTTCATTATAGTCAAATAGATAGCAAGAGAACAGAGAAAATGCAAGTAAATTTAACCCACATCTGAAATATTCAAAATAGTTTAATGGTATAAATAAATAGTTTTCCTTTGTGAGTACTTAAATATCATCTATATACATTTTTGTTGATTTCTACTGTAAGTACTGTGCCAAATATTGTTACTTTGAAACTCATATGGCTACTTCTTAATCCTAACTAAGTTAACAAAGTTGTTTCAAAGTCAGCATAATTGAATTTGAAACTGAAATTGAAATTGAAAATCAAATCAATTCTATCTAAGGATTTGGAATTCATATTGACTTTTTATGGAATTGCTTTTCAAGGAGGAGACATCACATCACACTGAATAATAAATGCCCATCTCTATGTAGTATAACAGGAAATGAGTTACTCTGTCTCTGTAGTTATACTACTTTGGGAGTTCTGGGATTAGGAAAAGATATACTTCAGTTAAACACAATTTATCTTATTTCTATTTTAAATACAGAAATCAACTGATACTAATAGTGGTATTTCAGGATAACATGTTTATGATGTTAGGATTTCAAAAATTTAGTAAATGTACTAATTTAACTAATTTCAATTCTTTAAAAAAATTAGTATTTTTGTGCCCAAACAACTTCAGAATTTATTCTGACCAACTCCACCTCCTTTTATTTGTTGAAATTAATGTAAATAAAGGTTCAGAGATTATATAAATTTATTTGAGTCAGCCACCTGTTCATTGGCACAGTGGAGTTAACAATCTGTCTCCATTTCTCTTAGAGTGTTATTCATACAGCTGCCCCATGTCAGCTTTTGTTTAAATACATTGCTGTTTTAAAATGCTGCCCCAGCCATCATTTGGCTGTAACTAAGTCCCAAATCAGCATTTTGCTACTTTCAGTTAAAATTTGGAGTTTGAGTTCTTGGTCCTATTACATTATTTCTTTAAGTACAAATTAAATCTAAGAAGTGTACAAAGAAGGACTCTATGGCACTGTCCAAAAACATTGTATTAAAAATCCTGAGTCACTTCAAGACTTAAATTCAATTTATTTCTTAGATTAAATAGAGAGTTAAAGGTAAGGAAGAGGAAAAGACTTTTAACTCCATCACCTCTCTGAGACAGGAGAATGGTGGGAGTCAGAATAATGCTCACTTGATCTGAATTCAAATTCTGACTATATCAGTGCTAATGAATTTGAAATCAAATCAAACTTGTGCCATCAGATCCTACATACACCCATTCAAAAGATTAGGTAATCATAGTAACTTTAATAACTTAAAACAGTGTAGGTATCAATAAAACAAAAACAAAAAATACATATCTTTCTGTTAAGTATAATGTAAATATCCTTTAAAACATTTGTAAAGAAATGGGCGTGGCCAATTCTATGTTAGCTTGCTGTAGTACCTAAAAAGACCACAAGATGGCAAGCAATGGTTTTTAGGCCATGGTGGCACTGCACAAAAGTTTTTAGTTACTCCTAGATTCCTTAGCACATGATAATAAAAATAAATATCAATATTAAATTTAAATAATCATGCTATTATATTGCCATAAAATTTTGATTAAAAAAACAAACATTAAAACTAAGAAAATTATGTTAAAATATTTATGCTGCCCTTCTCTTTGTTCAGAAGTCTTCAGGACGGGGTGAGCTACTGATCTCCCTCTGCTATCAGTCTACTACAAATACTCTCACTGTGGTTGTTTTAAAAGCTCGACACCTTCCTAAATCTGACGTTTCTGGACTTTCAGGTAAGAATGTGTCTGAAATATTTAGGTTCAGTCTAAAAGTGGGTATACATTAAATAAAATAGCTACCAACTAACTCTAGCCTCTGATTTTGATTTACTTTTATTCATAATCATAAGTTATAGGATTGTTTCACTTTTTCTCATTTTTTGAAATACTGTGACCTAATGCTACCAGCAATAAGGAGAAACATACATAGAACTAACACCAGGTCAGTACCTGCTAAATACCTAGTTGAATGGTGTTGAAATCAAAAACCACTGATAAGTGGAACAGTGAGGGACCATTACCAAAAGCACACAATTAGAAATATTATTAGGGTTCAGGAGAAGTGTTTTTAATTTCAGTATTTTTAATAAGCCCATTTAACCTATACTTTTATTATTTGATTACTTTTTAAATGTTTTAAGAATTAGCTTTTAGTCTTATTACTAATTTCACAAAACAAAACAAAACCCCGAACTCATTTGCATAGCAGGATGAAAAAGAACATGAACTATGGATTAAAAAAATCTAAATTCAAATATTGATCCTTCAATTTCTTAAGCTAGTATCCTTGAACATATTTCTTAAACCTTGTAAAAATTGGAGATAATAATACCTTGGGAAGCATCGTAAAACACAGAAACGTATAGTCTACTAAGAAACATCTAGACAGCCATGGTGGCACAAGCCTGTAATCCCAGTGGCTCAAGATGCTGTGGCAGGAAGATTATGAGTTCAAAGTAGCCTCAGGAATAGTGAGGCACTAAGCAACTCAGTGAGACCTTGTCTCTAAATACAAAATAGGGCTGGGGATGTGGCTCGGTGGTTGAGTCGCCGTATCCTTGGTTTCACCCAAAAATAAGTAAATAAAAAAGAATCATCTAATTTTAATATTATCCTTGTTGCTGTTGTTATTATTTGATGCTGTAAGTTAAAATGTGGTCCTAAAATTTCAGTCAGGGAGCTAAAGTTAAATCAGGTGCAACAATAAAAATGTTAAAGATGATTAAATATGTGGTCAAGTAACATGATCCTAAAATTCACACACTAAGGATGGCAGGGCAAAAGTCACTAAGGGGCAACAGAAAGAAAATACAGCAAGTGATTAAAGAACCACAGAAAAGTTAAAGCCGGTAATATTCCTCATTTCAAATACCCATTCAACAGAAAGTTAGCCCAAATTCAGATGTAGATGTCCCAAATCATACAGGTTTCTAAAGTTGGATGTTGTGTAATATTTTTTTCCCTTCTATCTCATTTTCCAGAATGAGTTATTAGCAATCAGAATGTCCCTAATAGAACATTCTTCTTTCTGCCCTCTTATGTTATCCTTTTTTTTCTGCCATTGCAATTCCTTTTCTAATCTCCAGTCTAGAATTGCTTTTTCATTTTCAGTTTTGTTAATAAGAGTAAAGTCACACTTCATTCACACTTTCTTTGTTCTTACTCATTTCATTGTAAAGATCTTGGTGTGCTGGGATCTCGGAAAGCTCCATTACTTTGCAGTCAGTTCTGCATCTGAGCTTTGCTCTGTAATACCTGTTGTGTACCTTTGCAGATCCCTATGTCAAAGTGAACCTGTACCATGCCAAAAAGAGAATCTCCAAAAAGAAGACTCATGTGAAGAAATGCACCCCCAACGCAGTATTCAATGAACTGTTTGTCTTTGATATTCCTTGTGAGGGTCTTGAAGAAATAAGTGTTGAATTTCTGGTTTTGGATTCTGAAAGGGGGTCCCGAAATGAGGTGATTGGGCGGTTGGTCCTAGGTGCAACGGCTGAAGGAACCGGTGGGGAGCACTGGAAGGAGATCTGTGACTTCCCCAGGAGACAAATTGCCAAGTGGCACATGCTCTGTGATGGTTAGCATCCTAGCCATGAGTTGGAACTTAAGGGTTTTTACTAGGCAAGGAGAATTTTTTTTTTCTTATATGTGATTGTAAGCTTGTGACACAACAAGCCACCTTTTGTTGGTAAGAAATGGATTGAATTAGTAGACCAGAAAGTAACTGTAAATGTGCATCATGATAATTTCCCCCTTTAGTAGCAAAGTTGGATAAATTTTCATAAGATATTTGATTTCCCCTGCAGGTTGTCAGTGACATAAATAGGGATGGTCAATCCTGTTGTGAACACTGTACTACAATCCGAGTCATGGTTTGGATCTAGAGGGTGATGATTCATTACAATGTCACTGAAAGTCCAGGTGATTTTTTTAAGTTTTAAAACTGAAAATCATGCCTTCGCTTATGAAAATTCATCCGTTTCTTCAAGTTGGGGAAATGAAATTTTATTTAAATCCAAAGATATTAAAGACATGTTTTCTAGTTTCTATTAATTATGTCAAACACAAATGGTTGTCCTGCATATCAAAGTATCTGGTCATTTCTCTTTGGTTTGTAAGTATTTGATACAATTTTATCTTAAGAGAAATAACAGGCTCATTTCCAAAGGACAATGAACAACCTGAGAAGTTATTTTATCAAAGGGCTGAGTTGAGAACACTGTGGCTGAAATATGATTTTTTTTTTCGCTTCTTTAAGGTTACATGTGAGTCAAATGTAAAATAGAATCTCACATAAGAACCACAGCCTTGAATTATTCACTGCCTGTCACAAGCCTCAGTGTGACCTAAGAAACCCCTGTTTACCTTTGTGAAATCGTCAAATTAGCTAGTGGATAAAGAGATAAGATTCAGGTAGAGATTCAACTAGAAACATGGTTTTCTTGTAGGAGATATGTACAGTATACAAATGTACTCTCAAGGCCATCCTTTGTACCCAAGTGGGCATGGTCCCCTGAGTGTTGGCTTAATTCATTCTCCCCCAGAAAGGATTAAGCTATTTGAAAAGGGAAGGAAATGAAGGGAAGGAAACAAAGGGGAGAGAAGAAGGAACGGTGAGGATTGGGTGGAAGGAAAGAAGGAAGAAAAACGGACTGTGAAGTTTTATACATTGCCAGATTGAAACTAACAAATCAAGTAACAAGTCGAAAAAAATATAGAGTAAGCCTGACATAATTTACATGTTCACAAAATATACTTAGGCTGTCAAATTAGCAAAACAAAGTGTGCTTTTCACTATGTTTTCTAGGCTCCTAGGTCTTGAGCTGTTGTCTGTAAAGCAGTTTAGAGACTTGTGTCTTGTACCATTTTCCAGTGCCAGGGTTCTGAAATGCACTCAAAACCTGTTAGAGGAAAGCAGAGCCCTGCGATTATCTGGAAAGAATTCACTGGAGGGTAATGTCACAATATTTGAGTTTTTATAGACGTATGAGTGAAACTCGGGTACGGCTGAATTATTAAATATGCAAGTTAGAAATAAAGTCTACTGGAAAATTTACACTTGGAGTCAGGTTTTGTGTCAGTACTTTAACAGTTTTTGAGAATGTGTTTGATATTCCAGTGTTTGTAAATTCTATGAACATGCATTTTCCTAACAACTTCTACATGCTTTTTATGACAATGCCTAATGTAAAGAAAATGTATTACATTCTGTACGTGCAAAGATCGAAAATCAACCACTTTTTGTGCTTTAAGATGACTTTGAGACTAAAAATGAACATTCCCCAGCCATGGTCTTCATTCCATATGAAGTCATTCCACAGCATCTTGGTCTCCTCAGCTTTTCTGTGAAAGCAACATGAACTTCAGACAGTGTGGAGCTTGGGGAAGCCAAATGGCCTTTTTAATGTATGTATGTTCGGTATCATGGGCCATGGGATATGAGGTATTTTGGAGCTCTGAAAAGTTGTGAGGAGTCAATTTCCAGTATCCTACACAGCAGCCAATGGTAATACCAGCCTTCAGTATGATTATTGGAAGAGGGCTTTTTTCTTTTTCTTTTTTTTTAAGTGGAACAACAATGAATGAACAATTGAAATTACAATGGATGATTTGTAAATAGTTTTTAGTTTTTAAAATTTAAAGTGTTTTAGAGTGTGAAAAGTTGAGTGAAACTATTTACAACGGGTAATAAAAGAAAGAAGAAAAGCAAGAAAGGAATCCAAACAGGCAGGGAGATATGTGATCTCATCATTTTTGAAAATTGTACTGTTTTATAATGTATTACAATATCAATGTGAATATCTTGAATTCTGTTACAAATCCTGCACTGTATTAAACATGTAAATTAATCGTTTGTCTGATTAGCCAATCTAACCACCCTCATGGGGAGGTATCCATGTTTGAAGAACTGTGTAACTCAGTAACTGACTTGTTCTGATGTTGTAGCTCAATAGAAGTGATTTGGAAGGAAGCATGGTTCACAAGATGGTGTCTGTTCTTTTGTGCCAGCTCTGTATGATGTTCGTAAGACCATGTTTGTAAGACATGAATAAACTGCTACTTTTGCCCAACCCATTTCAACTCAGACTTTCTGCCAATGGACTCTGAAGTGAACCTTTTCTTACTGTTACATGAGCTTTCAAGCTTCTTTAATAGGTCACCTGTGATACTTTAGGGAAATTTAGGGACCAAGCAACAAATCTTCCATATACTTTTATTTTGCTTAATGCTTATTACAATCATCTGGAACAAATATAATCATACCTAAAATAAACAAATGCACGGTATGATGCCTCATGCCTGGCAATTTTGGAGGCTGAGGCAGGTGTATCACAGGTTTGAGGCCAGCCTCAGCAACTTAGATAGGTCCTGTCTCTAAGTTAAAAAAAAAAAAATTAAAAGGTGAGGGTGCTGGGGATGTAATGCAGTAGTAGAGCATCCCTGAGTTCAATCCCCAGAAATGCAGTGAGTGGATGAATAAAAAAATAAGAAATGACTTGTACATGAACTTAAACAATAGTTTTATTTTAAATAGTAAAACATGGGAATCAACTCCAATGTTCATCAACAAATGAATGGATGAATAAATGTGGAAAATGTATGCAATGCAACATTACTCAGCGGTGAATGAAACTTTAATATACACAGACACATTTTCAAATTTGGCAGTAATTATGCTGAATGAAGAAGGCTGGACATCCCTTCACCCCTTGAAAATGTACAATATATAATATAATTATTTGTTTTTAAAGAGAGAGAAGTTTTTAATATTTACTTTTTGGTTTTTGGTGGACACAACATCTTTATTTCATTTTTATGTGGTACTGAGGATCGAACCCAGTGCCCCGTGCATGCCAGGCGAGCACGCTACCACTTGAGCCACATCCCCAGCCCTATAATATAATTCTATTTATAGAAATTATACAAAATGCAAACTAATCTGTAGTGATGAAAAACAGATCAGTGTTTGGGGATGAAGAGGCAGCATGGAAAGGTGTGAGTGAAAGATTGAAATAGGTTAGGAAAATGCATTTGGGATAACAGATGCGCTAATTTCCTTGATTGTGGTGGTAGTGTTATAGGTGTATATCTATCAAACGCAACACTTTCATGTATGCAATTTATTATACACAAATTATACCTCCATAAAGTTGTTAAGGGGAAAAACATACAGAATAAGCCAATTATAATCAAATCACAAAAGAAATACCAGTACCAACATTACCACCAGAATTGTGACATCTGAAGATCAAATTATATAATATCCTTTAGATCGGGTCTCTGTTCCTAAAATACATCTTCCTAGAAATGTGTGTTTATATTACTGCTTCATAAAAGCAACTAAGACAGTAACTTTGTCATGATGCCATCAAGTCATTTTTTATTTAAATACAACTTGTGTTAGGTTTTTATTTCTATTTTTAAGAAATTTCTGTTTAAATCTCATTTTGTTTTGCAGTTTGTGAAATGTGTACACTGTTCCAAAGTTACATTTAAGAATAAAATATGTTAATAGAATCCTATCTTTTTATACATTCTCACTTTTTCTCTCCTCTTCCATAACTAATAATGTTTGAAAGATTTAAGCTAGTCCTTCCACAAGTTAATAAAAGTGTATATCTATGTTCACAATTCTTTCTTCACTATATGAGCAAAAGCATGAAACATAGTTTGAATTCTCTTTTTCACTTAACAAGCTTTCTTGGGGATGGTTCCCTGCCTGCAAATAGATATGGTCGCCAGTCCTGCTTTAAAGCTGTATAATATTACCTTACAGGATCAATTTCAAATGTATTGTGTTTTAAATTTAAATGTAGTAATGATTGGAAATGTGTTTGCTCTCATAAAATAAGGCCCTTAGAAAGACAAAGTGTGGTTTTCATTGATATTTACATTTCCACAGTATCTAGGCCAGGGCTCTGTGTATAGAAAGCTCAATGAATATTAATTTAACTGAAAAAAGTTTCAGCCATGATTAATACCATATTTGAAGCAAATTTATGAGTAGTATTTTTTTTAAAGTAGCCATAGGTAGTGACACACATTTGTAATCTCAAAGGTTTGGGATGCTGAAGAGGGAGGATTGTGGCTTCAAAGCCAATCTGAGCAACTTAGTGAGACATGAAGCAATTTAGGGAGAACTTGTCTCTAAAGAAGATATAGAGAAGGCTAGTGATGTGACTCAATGGTTAAATGCCCCTGGGTTCAATCCCCTATACAAAACAAAACAACAAACAACAACAACAAACCTCACATGATCCTGGGAAAGAAGACAGGAAAACACTGAAAGTGCCTCTGCTACATCAATAGGCCATTTACCCAATGGAGAATCCACAAAGACACATGATCCTTGTATAGGAAATAGGCCTCAGTTTCATCCCCAAATCATTCCCCTAATGCAGGCTGCAGATGATACAGATGCTGCTAATGCTGCCGCTGCTGCTATATTACCTCCAGCATACTACTACCACCTTATAATGAGATGACTTATTTAAGCTTATATTTTGATTACTGGGGAATCTTTCTGTGACATTCATTGATGCACTCCCCTACCCCAAGATCTGCTTTTGGTGGTAGCTGACTGAAATATTTGCTGGATTAAAATGTAAAACTCAATAATAGAATACATTTTCTAATTTATATCTTCTCATTTCATAGCACAACACACAATGTATACAACAGTCCTTTAAATTTACTGATAATGAAGATTAATCTCAGTATACCATCTAACTTTAAAACACCCAGTGGCAAAGATGGAAGGGAACCTGGAGCTGCCGGAGTTCAAAATCACTGCTTTGTGGACAGCACCAGACACACCTGCTCTAAGCAAGCACAGTATCATGTTTTACTTCTTTCATCCCAATTCTTATGATAATGTCACATATAGAACAAATACTGAACATACTGAAAAATAATGGTTGAAATAATTTGGTAGATTGTTGTTGTTGTCATCTGATTTTTTTTTTAAACACAGATCAGTTACAAGCAAGTGGTAGAAACAGGAGCTAAATGTGCATGGAGTCTCCACTACAAGTTTTGAACAACTATTATCTGTTTCCTTGAACAACCATATTTGAGAATCTAGCCAGACAACAACTCAATGCCATCTTGCATATCTTGAATATTAGTGCCAATCCAGCAGTAATAACTGTACAAGACCAAATCATAGCAGAAAAAGAATGGGCAAGACTATCTGTAAAATGGGAAGCTTTTTCCAGCCTAATAGGAACATGTCTACTCATTTTCTGGTAAGAAAAATTAAACAGATCTTGAATTTTTTGTTGGTGAAATGTGAAGTGATAAAAACACTTCTTAAGTCAGCCTCTCTCTAATTTAAAATAATATTTTAATATTCTCTGTACCTTTATGGATAAAAGCATGATCTCCTTATTCAGACTCCCATCGTGTTAATCTTGGCTTCATCCTTTATTAGCTGTATGAGGTATGTCTCATCATTAAACATTTCTGTGTCTCCATTTCTTCTTCTCTTATAAAGGGCTGGTAATAATTCCACACTTGCAAAATATCCCAAATACACAGAAGGAGAGAAGGGAATATCATTAGTTCAGCATAGAGATGGGTTTTCAGAAAACATGTATTGAATTTCTTTGGATCTAAATGGGCAAAAAAGAAAATCTAATGAATTAAACTGTGAGGCTTTGAAAATGGGTATTGACATCTGTTAGTAGTTCAACTGCATCTAGAAGCTTACAGCTGTATTTTACATCATAGGACATGTTCATTTTAATATTTAATCTTCACAAAAAATCCATGCAGAAAGTTGGAAATACATTCTTTTTATGCTATTTGAGATTTAGGTGATTTATCAGAAGTTAGCATCTGCATTTTATAAGTGGAAGCAAGTGGGGGATGGGATAAAAGTCTAGCCCTAGAGGGAACAAGCATTTGAGAAGAGGGTAGGTTTAAGGTAGGACAGAGACGAAGCACCTGGAGAAGAGAAAAACCATGTTGAATTAGGAAAACTGATGATCTAGCATGAATGATGGGGAGTCTAGCTGGAGCTTAGGGTGCAAGTAGATAATATACCTTGTATGAAAAATGATCTATTTTGGAGTAATTGAAACATGAAATATTTGTTTATTCATCCACATTTTTGTTATGATGATGCCTCTGCCTTTATTCATGCATATTAATATATAAATGCAGGATCCTAGAGGTTTTGTATAAAATAAACATCAAACATGTTATTAGGTACAAAGGCAAAATTTTCAAAAGTTTTAAAAAGAATCACACTAAGGCAAAGTTTGCTGAAATATTTGTCAATACACAGGTCACTACTTATGATTAATGTAGCACGATAATCTCATTCAAACAGTTATAATGAAAACACACAGAAAGATAGAAGATGACAAAGTGACAATATAAAAAAAATAAGCTCACCCTCTAAGGAATGTAAAAAAATATAGTTAAGATGTGCAGTTTCCCAAAAGAAATGCCATAGTCTGAGTGGCTTAACCAAGAAACAATTATTATTTTTACACTTCTGAAGGCTAGAGCTCTGAGAGCAAAGTATCACCAGGATTGATTTCTTCTGTGACTCTTCCCTTTGCTTGCAGATGACCAACTTTTCATGGTGTCTTCATATGGTCTTTGTAGTTAATCTCTTTTAACACAGACACTAGTCACATTGGATTGAGCCCATTTACATGACCACATGTTAACCTTAATTACCTTTTAAAAAATCCTGTTTCCAACTCTAGTCTCATTCTAAAGTACTAGGGGTCAGGACTTTAATAGATGGAATTTTGTGGGATGCAAATCAGTACATGATCAATAGGAGAACATAAGAAATGTTATTTCCTCAATTGCATACAGAAATGCTAGTTTATATTCCATATAAAAATTTAGATTTCTACTTTATGAAGTTGTTGAATGCTTGACATCAATGTTTTCTTATTCTGTTTCTTTCTACTCTTGCTATATGTGGACAACAGACAATATTTACATTTCCCCAAAATCAAACCACAGGAACAACCATGCTTATCCAGATAAAAATATAGAAAGAGAATGAGCATTACAATCTTACTCCAAAGACATAATTTTGGGGAATAGATACATATAAATGTGTATACATACATACACACACACACACACACACACACACACACACATATATATATACACGCACACATGTATATTGTGAGATAAAGTCTTAGTTTTGATTTTCATTTCTCTAATTGCTAGAGATGTTGAACATTTTTTCATATATCTGTTAATTGATTGTATATCATCTTCTGAAAAGTGTCTGTTAGTTTCTTGGTCCATTTATTGATTAGGTTATTTGTTTTTTTTTTTTTTTTGGTGATTGTCTTTTTGAGTTCATTATATATCCTAGAGATTAGTGCTCTTACTGATGTATGTGTGGTAAAAATTTGCTCCCAAAATGTAGGCTTTCTATTCATCTCACTGATTATTTCTTTTCCTGAGAAGAAGATTTTTAGTTTGAATCCATTGCATTTATTGATTCTTGATTTTACTTCTTGCACTATAGAACTCTTATTAAGGAAGTCAGGTTCTAATACAACATGATGGGGATTTGGGCCTGCTTTTCCTTCTAATAGGTGCAGGGTCTCTGGTTTAATTCCTAGGTACTTGATCTACTTTGAGTAGAGTTTTGTGCATGGTGAAAGATCAGAATGGCAGCTATTAAGAATATAAACAACAATAAGTGTTAGCAAGGATGTGGGAAAAAGGCACATTCATACATTGCTGGTGGGACTGCAAATAGGTGCAGACAATATGGAAAGCAGTAGGGGGGTTCCTTGGAAATCTGGGAATGGAACCACCATTTGACCCAGCTATCCCTCTTCTCGGACTATACCCAAAGGACTTAAAAACAGCATACTACAGGGACACAGCCACATCAATGTTATAGCAGAACAATTCACAATAGCTAAACTGTGGAGCCAACTTAAATGCCCTTCAGTAGACGAATGGATAAAGAAAATGTGGTATATATACACAATGGAATATTATTCAGCAATAGAAGAGAATAAAATCATTGCATTTGCAGGTAAATGGATAGAGTTAGGGAATATAATGCTAAGTGAAATTAGCCAATCCCCCAAAACCAAATGCCTTATGTCTTCTCTGATTTAAGGATGCTGATTCATAATGAGGTTGGGAGGGAATATGGGAGGATTAAATGAACTCTGGACAGGCCAAAGGGGTGGGAGGGGAAGAGAAGGTCATGGGGGTGGAATGAGATAGACATCATTACACTAAGTACATGTATGAAGACATGAATGGTGTGACTAGATTTTGTGTTCAACCAAAGATGAAAAATTGTGTTGTATATGTGTAATACGAAATGTAATGCATTCTTCTGTCATATATAGCAAATCAGAATAAAAACCAAATAAATAAATAAAATGTATATACACATAAACATTTATAGATACACACACACATACATATATAGAGACATGTAAACATATAACTATGTTA